TTTTTTTTTCCCCGGGACCATAAAACACCCCCCCCCCCCCCAAGAATAACCAAAAAACCAAAGGGAGACAGTGAGCATTTACACCAGGCCCCACCTGTTTAGATGGAGTTTTAGCTCCACATTCTGCACAGAAGCAGCAGTTTATGCCTCTCAGCTCATGTTCCTCCAAGAAGGTCGAGATGCAACTTTCCTGAAAATAAGTTCAGGACATCAGAAGCGTGTTATTCTATGAATCTTCCTCATTTATTTATATTTTTTAAGTGTCCACACAAAACAAACTGCACCAGAGAGTTGTGGTCTTCTTTGACATGCAGATGCAGATTGAGCAGGTAGTCGACCGCCGTCTGGACGGAGTCACAGTTCAAACACCGCAGCTGAGTCTCTATTGAAATCTTGTAAAGGTTCTGGATCTCAAGAGCCTGTTTTCACAAAAAAGGGAAAAGAAATCAAACATTAGTACTGAAACTCTAGTTGGAAAATGTCAAAATACAAACGTTTAGAAACCCACAAGTGCTTCGTCGTCCATCTGCTGCTTCGTGAAGTTCAGGATGGAGAGGAAGACTTCGTTAGAGTCGTGCTGAACGCTGACTGGAATTTAAGTTAATACGGTCACAGTCACAAGGTGTGAGGTAAAGGTGAGAAAAACAGAGTCAGACTGGGTGTTTGTTTTTTTTACGTCGTACGCAGTTTCTGTCCAGGCAGCGGAGGAAGTCTCGGTGAACTTCGTTCTGGGGACCACCGCTGCTCATGGCTACGAGAACTTTCTTCAGCTGTAGAGGGACGTTACGATTGGACGCATTCACGCCTTCCGAGTTCCACCTTTAGATATTTACAAACCATCATCGAGAACAACAATTACAAGCTAACATCCAGTGGTGTGTCATAAGGAGCTGGTCCATGTTGCTCAGCACTTGCAGTAATATTTTGAGCACATCAGGTTTAAAATAGGACAGTTTGCTTCCGCAGTTCTACTGAGCTACATTCACAATCTGTGGTTAGCAGGAAATGTGACTCTAAGTTCAACTAAAAATGTAGTTTGTTTAAGTCATATATTCTGGTGACTATAACAGAGCGAACAATAAGGAATTCCTACCTTTCCAACACATCAGCGACCTCCCAGGTTGCAGAGAGGGTCTGCAGCAGAGTGTTGACGCAGCAGGAGAGATGGTAGTTGCTCAGGCCTCTCATTTCTGGAACAAAACATTAAAAACAACTTTATTGTGTGTGTGTGACAATTTGATTGAAAATGCGAGTGAACATAGTGGACACCTAACAGCACTTTTACCCGTTTAGCCGTTAAAATAAACGTTTGTTTTTGGAGGGTTGCCAGTTCTAATCCCAGCCCAGGTTGGGGTGTGTTGAGCAAACACCAAAACACTGTCAGACAGACAATCATCGAGTAACGAGTGCTCAACCAGCTCCATTTTTTACTCGACACTGTGGCGCTGTCTTGCTCACTGTCCCTCAATGGGTTATTTGACCGATTTTTATAAAAATAATATAAAATGTTTTCTTAATTATTATTATTTTATATTGTCAATATATTTGTTTACATCTATGTTTTGATGTTTAGAAGGGGGTTATTTGGGTTTTTAGTTCTTTTTATTGGGGAAAATGCAATCGAGATACGAGTGAATCGACACGAGTGCCCTTGGGGAACGGATTAAACTCATATCTATGCCTTGGGGAACGGATTAAACTCATATCTTGAAGCCCCACTGTACTAGTGTTAACTAGTTCAGGTCAAATCTGTTGTGTTTTGACACTTGACTGACCAATAATCACGGTCAAAAGACAACAACAGGGAATTGAAGCACAATAGATAAACAGGAAACGGACTTTAAAGACTTTTAAATCCTCCCTCTCAATGTTAAAACAATAAACAGTGAGAAAACGTGGTTATTGTTTACAATTTATTGGCGGAGTGTACTCACCGCAGTGATGAGATTCCATCCGAAGAAACACGGACAGTAACCGACTGATACCGGCTGACATGACGACCCAGGTTCACACAGACCGGACAGCTGAGACTGTAGTCGCCGTATGATTTCTGCGTCTTGGTCAGGTTTGAGCATCAGTTTCATTTCACCTGAGCGCTTCACCGAAAATGAAACTGAGATTTTGATGTGCAGAAAAAAAAGTTAAGGAGCACGTAAAGTCAGCTGATTGTTTAATATATTAGTCAGTAAATATAGTCGTTAGAATTCATTAAGTTAAACACATTAATGACAGAACATTAAGCATTAAAACAATATAGTAATTGTTTTTTCTTTTAACTGATTTGTTTCAATTCATGGCATCCCAACACCGTCAGGCGAACTGATGACGTCAGTCAAAACTAGCTTTTAAATGAATCCCTTACCGATAATTCAAGTCGATGCGCTGTTGTTGACGTTGTCATCCGGGATACGCGGGCCAGCATACAGTCATAGTGATTTCTTTTACATTAGTTTGTTCCTGGACCGACTCTTGTTGGTGAGTTCTGGGCCACAAGTTGGTTAAAAGTTATATCCTCTCCACGATGTAGAGCAACAGATGTGGCCGAAATATGGCACACTACGGTTTACACTTCACCAAGAATCCGGTTTATATAACCCGAAAAGATGATAATGTGAGTATCTAAAAGACGCTGCGACTTTTTGAGTTGTACGACGCAGCTATTTTGTTAGTTGTTAAAATAATATGTTTAACCACATATAAGCAATTAGCACATTGGCAACAAGGAAACAAAAGTCAAAAGATGCTACTTTTTCTGTTGGTTAACTGTATTTTATGGAGCCATTAAAGTCTCACCAACACTGTTGAAGATATTTACTGTATTTTACTACCATCTGCTCCATGTTTGTTTGCGACAATTTAACTGCTGTCCCAGTCTGCCACAATAAAAAAATGTTGGTTTCTCAGCCACTCGGTGAATCATTCCGCTAACTATAGAATAAAACATATAGAAGTGATTGTGATAACTTGGGTGTTGACCTCAGGAACATTTACGGGGGCAGAAAACTTTATGAAACACTGGCCTTTGGTTCATGGTTTATATCCACGGTTTATGGAGCATTTTGACTGCAATAAAATACCTGTGGTTTCGAAAAAAAAGTATGGTTGGGAAAAGTCCTTGTTATATAACTTTGAGTGATTTTCACTGGTGGGTGGCACGGTGGTACAGCGGCTGACACGGCTGCCCCACAGCTTCTCTGGGGGGTGTTTTTACTTTCTTTTCTCACTCAGTCATCTGGTTTCTACCAAAATCCAAACAGAGAAGATTAGACTGAACACACACTGCGCTGTTCATCTGTGTGTGGATCAGATACAAAACTGAAGCCTGGAAAAAATATTGTGTTTATCTTGATATCAACTCAATTATTATTATTTATTTGGCAACCAAATGTTTTTCCTTCAACCAAAAATGTTTCTTCAACCACCTGTGGTTATACTCACAGTTCTTGAAAAGGAAACTCAGAAATGTTTTTGGCTAAATTAAATAGAAACATTTTCTGAGTACGGTGGAAGAAGAAGAAGATGATGATGATGATGATCCACTCCTGGATAATGTAGAGCCACAGAAAAATAACACCGTGATTTTTATACCTCTACAGTCCCATACTATCAGATGGAGTACTATAGTACAGTTTGAATGTGGACCTCCACATCTGTTTGATCAGTTGAAGAAGTTTGGAAATCCACATGAACGTCGATGGAAGAGCTGAGGAAGAAACGCAAAAGATTCACAGACATGTACTTCATCAAACAACCTCAACGTCCAAAAATGTTTGAAACGTGGTAAAATGAAAACCATCAGACCTGGATCCATTCGCACAAAGATCAGGTAGAGGAATACGACAGCCAGGAAGATTCTCCGCAAAGAGAAGGAAGAAAAACTTGTCACAAACAGTTTCCTGTACAAACATCTGAGCGCAGCTTCGAGTTTACGGACCACGGCACCTACAGAAGAGACGAGAGGGTCAATAACTGCATGGAATATGTATGAAAACGCATCTAAACGGAAAATGTGTGACCTTTTGGTGAGACCGAATGTGAAGTCATTTCAGAGTTTGGGTTAACGTCTGGAGGTGGTTCTCGAGTCTGCTGCGCCTTCTCTTCTACAACATCCAGCGCCATTTGTCTCTGGTCTTCTGTGAATGCACTGTTTCCCACCGTGCCGACGATCATCTCCCGAGCCTCTTCTGTTTGTCCCTGAGGAACCAGAACATGCAGCAGATACAGCTCCGCCACCGTCCCAAACCCTGACACTCTGCTGTTGCACGGTCGGTGGAGCCAAACTCTGGCTGCTTCCTGAATCCCAACAGGATGTCCCACCTTAGAGTAAAGAAGTATGCTGCCAGTGAAGATAAACACAGGAGTCATTTCAATCAGTCACTGGACAAATGGACAGATTATTAACCAGGGTTGCAGAGAAACAACAGACATTTCTGGTTGATACTAGGGTTGTTTAAATACTAGAGATGTCTGATAATATCTGTGGACCGATATTATCGGCCCAATATTAGCATAATCATGTAATATCTGTAAGAGTCGTTATCCATTTTCTTCTGATCATGAAAATCTGATAACTCAATGCCTGGGTTTCACCAAATGATGTGTGCACTAAAAATTGTTTTGGTGATAAACGGCTGTATATGAAAAAGAAAGACACTAGATGGCAGCATTGAGACTCATTTAATGAATCTATTTTAATAATCAGTGGATTATATGCAGAATGCAGGTGCCAGCAACTCATACAGTAGTTTGTACAGATAAATAAATAAATATTACCAGGCCTATTGGTATCAGCTGATATCAGAATCGGAAATTAAGTGATTAGACAATATCTGCATATCGGATATCGGCATAAAGTTAATATCAGACATCCCTAGTAAATACCACAAAATCCTTAGTTGATACATTTCTGAAGAACATTTAGTTGACTATAAACATCAGTTTGTGCTGCACTCACCACATCTGCATTATTTTTGCTGGTACTGTCTCCACCTGTTCATACTGCTGAAGGACCCAGGAGAGGGCACTCTGCCACTGATTCAGTTCAGCCAACGCTTGGATCCCTAAGATGCAGAACCCAGCTTTGAACTCTGCACATCTGAGGGGACAAAACAGCGACACACAACAAAAAAAATCTGTTTTTTTTTCCAGAAAACTCAACAGAACTTGGCTCCCACAGGAAATGATGCCCAGCTTCTGCATCCTGACCAGCGGCACCACTGTGTGGTATGTGAGCCGTGTAACGGCCAAGTGCTATGATCTATATTGGGTGTTGAGGGCAGCACAGCGCCCTCACCACTCAGACAGAAAACCCACACTCTGTTTATACCAGCCGTCTGAGAAAAATTGGCATCTGCACTGCCACAGACAGGACACACTGCTCCAGCTCATCTGATAGACACTCGAGTACAGTCTTGGAGTTTGTGTGTCCAAATGTCTGCAAGCAGTTTTATTGGACAGTCCAGATCCTATCCTTACAGGGAATTACTGCATATA